AAAAAAAAAAATCACACTTAGAATCCCAGAATTTTGGGAGGCTGAGGAAGGAAGATCACTCGAGGTCAGGAAACATCAGCCTGGGAAAGACCACATCTCTCACATGTCTATAAAAAATAAAAAAAGTTAGTTGGACATGGTGATGTATGCCTGTAGTCCCAGCTGAGGCAGGAAGATTGCCTGAACCCAGGAATTCCAGGTTTCAGTGAGCTATGATGATGCCGCTGCATCAAAAAAAAGGCGAGGGAGTTGAGTGGGTACTATGGCTCACACCTGTAATCTTAGCACTCTGGGATGCTGAGGCAGGAGGATCCCTTGAGCTCAGGAGTTTGAGAACAGCCTGAGCAAGAGCGAGACCTTCTGTCTCTACTAAAAATAGAAAAATTAGCTGGGTGTTGTAGTAAGCACCTGTAGTCCCAGCTACTTGGGAGCTGAGGCAAGAGGATCCCTTGAACCCAGAAGTTTGAGGTTGTTGTGAGCTAGGTTAGTCTTGGCAACAGAGTGAGATTCTGCCTCTTATTAAATACGTAAATAAATAATAAAATTAAATAAAATAGGCCTGGGGGGTGGCTCATGCCTGTAATCCTAGCACTCTGGGAGGTGAGAGGATTGCTTGAGTTCAGGGGTTCAAGACGAGCCTAGCAAAAGCAAGACCTCAGCTTTAAAAATAGCTGAGTGTAGTGGCAGGTGCCTATAGTCCCAGCTACTCGGGAGGCTAAAGCAAAAGAATCACTTGAAAAAAAATAAATAAATAAAAGTATCACTTGAGCCCAGCTCGGCGTCTGTAGTTCAGTGGTTAAGGTGCCAGTCACATACACCGGGGCTAGCAGGTTTGAACCCGGCCCAGGCCTGCTAAACAACGACAACTACAAACAAAAAAAGACCAGGTGCTGTGATGGGTGCCTGTAGTCCCAGCTACTTGGGAGGCTGAGGCAAGAGAATCACGTAAGCCCAAGAGTTTGAGGTTGCTGTGAGCTGTGATGCCACGGCACTCTACCCAGGGTGACATAGTAAGACTCTGTCTTAAAAAAAAAAAAAACTAGCCAGGCATCATAGTGGGCATCTATGAGTCCCAGCTACTCAGGAGGCTGAGGCAAGAAGATTGCGTAAGCCCAGGAGTTTGAGGTTGCTGTGAGCTAGGATGCACTCTACCTAGGGCAACAGAGTAAATAAATAATAAAATAAAAAAATAATTTAACAAAATGAGATCTCACTATTCATACTGTCTCATCAATAGGTTTGTACCTTTGATGGTCTTTTTATATCTGGATTCATAACATTCATTTTCTAAAAAGTATTTATTTTGAAATGATAACACAATAACTTAGTTCAAAATGCAAAAGGTACAAGAGGGTGAATGGTGAAAAGAATGTGGCAAGAGGGTAACATCTGCGCATAGTCCTGGAACAACCAGGAGTTGGTTATGTGAACTTTTAGGGAAGGAGCATTTCAGGCAAGGAACAGCTTGTGCAAAGGACTTGAGGTTCTGTTACATGTTCACTCTGATCCTCCTGCTTCATCTCTTTGAGTAGCTTAGACTCTAGGCATACACTGGGGTCTCAGTAAGTATCTCAAATCTGTGACTGGATGTTGCTCTGGATGTGGGAGAGGGACTGGAGATACTTTGAAAGAGTATGGTTAGTTATATCTCTTGAGGGTACACGGGGGAGCCGAAGGGGAGGTCTTCTATACATGATTTCATAAGGACTAAAACCTGCTCTATATGGAGTACACCTTGCTCTGAGAGTTACTAAGGGCAGGAGCTCTGTCTACTTTCCACCAGTCTCATTAATACAGGGGTCCTCAAACTTTTTAAACAGGGGGCCAGTTCACTGTCCCTCAGACCATTGCAGGGCCGGACTGCGGGCCCCAGGACAAATTGGCTGTTAAGCAGAACAAGCAGCTGCGGCAAAAACACTCAGCGTACTGGATAAATGTCCTCCGTGAACTGCATGTGGCCCACAGGCCATAGTTTGAGGATGCCTGCATTAACAAGTTTGATTAAAGTGTCTTTTAGAGTCCAGTTCAGTCTTTCTACTTATCTCAAGCTTTGGGGCTGGTAGGCACAACAGAGGTTTCACTGTATACCTAGGGCTTTACTAATTGCTTGGGTCAAAGTAGAAATGAAAGCTGGCCCATTATCTGAGCCAATTGAAAGAGGTAGCCCATATCTAGAAATAATCTCTTTCAGATTTTGTGTCTAGGTGAACTTCAGTTGTAGCTGATCAAGCAGTAGGCTCTGGCATTGGGCGAGTGCAGCATATAACATCCAGTGAGCTGTAGTCCCTCGAAGGAGGGTTTCTACTATGTGAGGGGCTGTCAAAATCAAGTCCTGTCCCAGAGTCAATCTGTCCACCTCCCATACCAGCAGGGTTGTGGCTGCGATGGCTCATAAGTAGCCCGGCCACCCAGTGGCTACTTAGACTAGCCACTGGCCATTTCCATGGTCTGAGAGCCTATGTTAACACTCCTTTGGCAATGCCTCTGGTTTCATGCACAAATAGGTGGAATGGCTTAGTGATGTCCGGTAAAGCCAAGGCTGGGGCTGTTACAAGGGCCTGATTTAGAGCTTTAAATACCTGATCCTCTTGGTTTGTCCACAGGAGGGGCCAATCACCAGCAATGGCAGTATACAAGGGCTTTGTGATTTCAGCAAAACCATGGATCCATAAACGGCAGTAGCCTGCCACCCACAGGAATCCCTGGACTTGCCATTTTGTTGTAGGATGATGGGCAGCCAGTGCAATGGGGTTGGATTCTGCCCATACTCGGGAGAAACCTGCTTGTAGCTTGGCTAATAGTGCCGGGACTGTGGTTTCTGCTTCGTTTTGAACCCCGTTCCTGCTCCTCAGTGGTGAGGAGTGTCAAAAGACGTTGTTGGCAATCATCCCAACTGGGATGGTGAGTCTGGAAAGTGGATTCAATCAAGGAAATAAGAACCTGGGGCTAGAACCTGGGGCTCCTTTGAAAAGGGTGGGTTTGGGGTTTTCCATTTGTACAAGTCAGAGGTTGAAAAAGGGACATAGGGCTCGGCGACTATAGCTCAACTGGCTAAGGCGCCAGCCACGTACACCTAAGGTGGCGGGTTCGAATCCCCAGCCCGGACCCGCCAAACAACAATGGCGGCTGCAACCAAAAAAAAAAAGCTGGGCATTGTGGCGGGCGCCTGTAGTCCCAGCTACTTGGGAGGCTGAGGCAGGAGACTCGCTTGAGCCCAGGAGTTGGAGGTTTCTGTGAGCTGTAATGCCATGGCACTCTACCCAAGATGACAAAGTGAGACTCTGTCTCATAAAAAAAAAAAAAGGGACATAGACAAGAAAGGGGCAGACACCTCTTCCTGCTTCCTCCCTGGGAGGTGCCTCCTGAAGGGGGAGGATCTAGGCTTTTCCATTAGACTCAGGGTTCATGCCAAGATTGGAGACGAGATGCTAGGGTTGAGACCTGGGGAGGAAAAGGTTCCAACAGGGGTGCTGAGG